TAGGGGTAACAGTTTACCAATAGGTTTGCTAACGTAATCAGTTAGCAAGAAAAATATTCTAGAAACTGGAATCTTTCCTTTAAAGATTCTCACTGTTGTTGTGAGAAGGACAACGTATACACAATGTCGATTAAACATGTTAGACAATTATTTGTTAGAGGATCTATCTTAGTAGATGCAAGATCTCTACTTAAATTGCATCTCAGTTTCTTTTAAACATACCCAACAGTGGGTTTTGGTTTTGTTATATATTTATAGATCTATACTTATCGCTAGCATAATCGTTATAATATGACCTTAAGTTTAGAAGGATCCTTTGTACTTTATATTAAAATTTTAAGCTTACCTTCGCAAACGTTTAATATATATTGGAAAAATGTAAATAAACTATTAAAATTTAACAACAAATTTTATAAAAGAACGCACTTTGGTGTATAAATACTGTTGTGTATTAACATGCAATAATTTATATATCAATTCCTAATCTATGACTCGAATATAACACTACAAGTGATATTCCTAAAGGTAATGTTATAAAAAATAAAATAAAATGTAGTAATATTTATCTACTACCTATTTTTCTTCCTAACTATTTGAATGGACAGTGTTTTCTTGGCAATATTCAAGGCATAGAACATACTAATACTTTTTGTTTTGTGTTTAATTCTTAACAAAATTTTTTAACTAAAAAGCGGGATATTACACACATTAATGCAAAGCAAATTTTCAGGGTTGAAGTACATGGACTAAAATTTTAAAATTTATTAAAAGAGGAGAAAAATAATATAATAAAATTTTAAATAGGCAGCGCTGCATCGGGGAATTCAAGCCTTTTTAAAATGACAAAGTATTACATAAAAACAAAAAATTGAATTTTTATAAAAATAAATAATTTATTATAATTAAAAAATTTTGATTACTGATTATTTATATCATATTTAGTCAATGGTTTTCTTGGGGAACAGTAAGAATAATTATGGGATTTTGTTGCATTATTAAAATATTGACTATTGATTTTTATTAAAATACACTAAGCACTATCGCTTATAAGTAGGTTTATCAATAAAAAAACCAAACAAAAGTTCTAATAGCAATAACTAAGTGACTTTAACTATTATTTTTTTACTGAATTAATTTATTATTTTGCAAAAATAATATTAAAGCTTAAATTAAAAATAAACGCTGAAGCGAGATATGTGCTAAGTGCTAAGCATTTGCTATAAAATTATAGCTACATAACTATAGTATTCACTAAATATATAATTAATATAAAGGGAATATAAATTTGTATATATACCTGTATTTGTCTTTGTGTTGTTATAATGCAATTCAAATATTAATAAAATAAATTATAATATTAATTTAAAAACTAAAACTAGTGTCATTTTAATACTTTTTGCCAATGCGGCTGATTATTATTATTTTTTTTTTCGCAGAAACGGTGAGAATGGAACACGACTTTTAGCATCTTCACCTAATGTGTTAATATGAGACACATATAAGACACAAAACTTAAGTATATTGAGTTTGTTTAATCCGTTGCCAACACAGTTGGCACAAACTCTAGTAACGTGACAGGCTTTGGTTCAAATTTATAGGTCCCTACGATATATTTAATGTTGGTAAACGAAGAACACAGAAAAGTAAAATTCTTCAATAAAGAGTTGAATTTTATAAGAGATATTTATTGTTATTAAATGTATTATAAATTTTTTATTTACAACAACATTCTCTCACCTACATTAATACAGTGTTTTTATCGAATATCCTATGGCTTATAAAGAAGAGGCATATGAATAATTGGGTTCTTGAATAAATTAAAAAAAGAGTGTGAATTGACATAATTATTATTAATGATACAATCAAAACCATAACAAATCAAACCAAATCAATTTTGAATCGCACCCTAAGAAATTTAAAAGTTACTGAACAGAACTAAGAACTAAACCAATGCGGCTTGGGAAATACTGGCTGAATTTGCTGGTGAGGAGCTTCGAGATTTTGAACTGAATAAATAGCTCGAATATTCACCTATTTTAGAAACTTATGCTATCCTGATAATAAATAACTTTTCAAAAGTTGAATAAAACGTTTATAAAGGTCATTATAAGGTACAAGAAAAAAATGTATTAAAGATTGTAGTAGCTTATAAATTGACATAATATAAAATTAAATAGAATAAAAATAAGTAGGTTTGAAAAATTCTATAATTATTTTAAAAAATTTAAAAGTAAAATTTTTAAAATAGATTTACAAAACAAACAAAAAAATATTTCAAAATTTTGGTTCCATTTAAACAAAAAAAAAAAACAGTTAGGTAAAAAATAGTCATGGAAGTGGACATGACAGAGTTCTTGGAGGAAGCTCTAAAAACTTTGCCTGAACCTAGAACTACCAAGCAGATAATAGAGAGGGTCAGAGAAGAACTGATGAAGGTAAGAAAACACAACAACACAAAATATTGTAAGAGTATATAAGTAGATTTTTCATTAAATTAGGTCTTACCAGAAGGCAAGGAACCTGACATGGACATTGTGACTGGACGCTATTTGGGCGAGAATTCCAATAATCGCTATTTGCTTGTTAAGGTACCTGGAACAGCATGGCTACGCACACGGCAAAATATAAAGCAGCAACAACATGATAAAAAAAATAGTTCTAGTTAATGGATTGGCCTCCTGCAAATGTTAACCAATCAGCTACAGTTCTTCAGTACCATTCCAAGTTCCACAAAATGTCAAACTATACCAACTTCAGCAAATCATGACTAAAGATAAATAAAAACTAATTTCGGCAAACAACCAACACTGATTTTTGACTATTTCAACTTTCTATGCTGCTATCAATGTAGCATACTCTGCAGGTGGCTTTCTGTTGTCAGAACGCTCACAGCCAACCGCCTCAAAAGCTGCAACAATTTTTCACTTTATACCAAATTACTAGACAATTACGTGAGACCTATAAATTTTCAACCAAAGCAATTAAGCCGGCATTAAATGCGTCATATGTATACGCAGACATATAAACGTAAATGTAAACGCACACGTATATTTTTTGTTTTTGTTCACACCGTTCAGAACGTGTCGTAATAAATGTTAATTTTGACTGGAAATCAACATTTATTACACGCCAAACGTGTGCACACACACACACGTTTATGTGTATATCCGTTTCCGGTTGTATCTTACTTACTATGCGGATGTAAATTTTAACATATGCATTAGCATATGTGAATGCGCTATAGTAAATTTTTATTATTATGCTAAATATGAATTTATGTATTATTAACATAAAACTTATTTAAAATGATTCCCTAAGCGTTTCGAACATCGAGCGCTGCAGTGCTTTTACTTGTACGTATGTATGTAAATGCTTGTGTTGGTATGTATGTTTGTGTTGGAATATACGATAAAACTAAAATATCACTAATCTATTTATATATGCATCTATGTTTGACTAAAACTAAATATTACAGTCATAATTAAGTCCATTATTGCAGACCAATTTAGTGAAGGTTCTCTATATAAAATATCATAAAATTTATAGCATAATTTTAAGCGTTTTGGCGCGTAACTTGACTTTGTTTATGCGGAAACTAACTCTATATAAGTTTTTAACTATAATAGTTAATGTTTAGTATAAAAATAATTTGAGTTGCGAAAAGCTGAATTAGTTTGCTGGTTGGACGCTTAAACAATTATGAAATTTAGTGTAATTTAGAAAAAAAGCTATTACTTCGTTACTTCGTTTTTATCATCGAAATAAATTAATTCGTATACTATATTGACATAATAACTTTGCTTTGAGACATAGATAGTTTTATTAACACTTAAATTAGTTTGCATTTAGTTATAATTTATTTAATTACTCAAACGGAAATAGTTAAATATAGAAATAAGTATAATTAGGTTAATTAACCGGATCAATCACCGGATTAATTAAGAATATGTATAGCACTTGAAGTCCTAAGGCTTAAGGTTTTACGAGGAATGTACAAAAACAACGAACAATAATATCAACCTCTTTGATTTCATTGAAGGTATGGAATGGTTGAAGTAAAATAGATATCAATTTAACCAACTAGAAATGTTAAAAAATACTGTTGAAAGTTAATAAAAGCTTGAAGGTTTCTTGTACTACAAATTTATATATAGAAGATAAAATCACAGTATATATAAATACATAATAATAAGATCGTCTGATGAATATTAGTAATTATATAGAAGCGTTTTAGGGATTAAATGGGTGGAAGGTTATTTTAGACGAATGAAGACACTGATATTCTAAAAACTGTCAGATCAATAGAGTTTAAATGTTAGCACTACATTTTGTTCATAATTTGTAATAGAAATTCTTATATTGCCTGGTATTAATATTGATATCTTTACCAACTATTTTAATAGAAAAATAACGAAATTCTTTAACAGTTCTATAGCAATGATCAAGACGAGTAGAAGCGTAATTTTAAATATGAGTTATGTAATTACCAGAACTAGAAGCTATACTAGTAGCTTCTCTCAAAATTTTTTTTCTAAAATAAGTTGTTTTCCTCCTCCCGTTCAAGTTTATTAATATTGCATATATTTACAGTCAAGCAATGTATTTCAAAAATATCAAGTTTGTTGCATACTTATAGGGTTTAAAAATTAAATAAAAACCAGGGATGACCTATCACGAAATACGCTAAATTTCAAAATTGTTTTTTTTGAGGACAAATCAAATTTTTATTAATATTATGTCCTAATTTTGTTTAAGTTTAAAGCGCATATTTTAACTTAGTGTCAGTATACTTAAGTAAAATAATATAAAAGTAAAGACGGAAGGTGTTATAAGCGAAATTGAAAATCAAGATGTTCAAAGTGTTCCGCTTCTCTTAGACTTAAGAACTATTTGAATTGTTATAAACAAAAAGGTTAAAATAAAAAAAAAAAATAAAACGGTATTAGAAATAACAAAAAATTTGATAAAAAAATAAATTTTTTTTGAAATTATAGCCATACCGCAGCAGCTGCAGCAACAGCAGTAGCGCGTGATTGCGCCGCTTTTAATTGTGCCTGTAGGTGCAGGGGAGGATGAAAATAGCGACAAGGATCACGTGCGCATCTTCCCTTCACGGCATCCATGCACACCGTGATGGAACCATCATCGTGTCTGGCAACACTCTCCTGCGGGTGCGCAAAACGACATTCCGATTCGGCTCGCTTGCAGGCGCCGCGCATAAATTCGCGACAAACCTATAAAATTTTTTTTATGGGCGTGGCGTGGCGTGACGTTGTATGGCATGTTTGTATGTGTAAGTTGTTGATTGTTGTTGTAGTATTAATATTTGTTGTTGTAATATTGTTTGGTTTATGTTTTTATTGATTAATATTTTAAATAATGTTGTCGGTGTACGCAGTAGAAGGAAACAATGGAAGGAAATTGAGTAAAAATGGATATTTAAATAATTTGTTTAATTAATTTTAATTTTTTTTTTGAAATTGTTGTTTTATTTGAATTTTGTATTATTGCTAGTCGGGTAAGTATACAATTTAGTGTAGTTTAGCTTGAGCCGAATTAGCAGAGTCACATGCCAACAGTATCTGATTTCGTTAAGTATTAAAAATTTTGAAACAAATTTTGCGGTTATTAGTTTTGTCAGTCGGATGAGTAGAAAACAACATTTACTTGCCTGTGTTTTATGTAAAATTGTTTTTGCAAGACTTAAATATATAGTACAGCGCATCAATTTAGATTACACAAAAGGTCTCCGATTCTTGAACGCAAATGCAAACAAAACGGGAACACAAACAAAGCACAGCAAAAATGTTTCTTTAAAATAATTTATTAATAAAATAAAAAAAAAAATTTTTTTTAATATTAAAAGGACATTAAATTATAACTAAAGCAATAAAATATTAAAATATAATTAAATTAATAGCATTCAATATGTATTTATGTTCTACAACAAAAAAGAGACAAGTAGAAATAGAGGTGGAGTTACTAACTTTGGTAATCATCAGTAGTGGAATATTAATATTCTAAAGTTTATATAAATAAGTAAATAAATTTTAAAGTAGAAAACGTAATATAAAAATACTCCATGAACTCCATAAAATATTATTTCTTTACGGGTCTCTTTTCTATATTTATGTTCATTATAAAAAACAAGCAAATATAAATACTCTGTATTCTCCAAGTGACATAAATGATGACAGGATCATTACATTTGAAGAACAGGTTGTTCAAAAAGGTCTAGCCGATAATGATTCTCAATTTTTTTAAAAATTAATCTTTCACATAGTTTGGCAAACATCTATTATTTCATTTGATTTGTGAAAATTTTTTAGTGAATGGTGTTGTTTTTAAATATAATTTTTCCAAATAATGTTTGGATATGGTGTACTCATATTTCTCTATGCATTACATTTGATAAGTTACTACTATCTTCATAGAGGTTGAAAATCATTAAAGAGTAATTATTAATGAAAGACTCCATATCAATACACCTCAATACACATATATTTACATATGAGTAGTACAGATGTGAGAAAGATATAACAGTTACTTTACATCTGTTTTGTCATTATCCAATATATGCATAAGGCAGAACACATATAACAGGAATTTACTTTCTTGAAGATCTTTACCAATTGCAACATTTCCCTTTCAAGAGCATTGAGCATAAGATTAAGGGTTCGAACTGTTTTCCAATCATTCGTAATTTATACCGCAATATATATTGACAACAGGTTTAAGTGGATTTCTAAGATAGTCGTGAAAACCTATTCTAATATAAATATGGAATTATTTTTCTAAACTTTTTTAAACACTATTAACAATTTATTGTCTTATTTTCTATTATTAAACACATATTGAATACTTAAAATTAATATTGAACACAAAACGCTTATCAACGCTATCAAGTTTTTAAACCAAATGAGAATTATAAACAAAACAAAAAAAACCAAAAAACAAAAAATAACAGAACAAGACAATAAACATAAAATTGTGTGGTTTTCACTTAATTTATTTTCTTTTATGGTGTTTCATTGAATTCCTTTTAGTGTTAAACAATAGATTTTTGTTTATTTACATGAAAAACAAAGGAAGGCGGCTCGCATAGAACAAACATAGAGAAATTAGAGAAATTTATATATCAAATTATATAAGAGCTGCTGCATAGGGGATCGCTGGGAATAAGGCAAAAGCTATGCAAAATGGCAGCATAACGATATGCAAAGTGCTGGTTAAGAAAAATAAAAAATTTACACTAAGAGCAGCTTTCTTCACTCATTTTTTAGATCTTATTAAAGTAATCCAAGGATATTTACTTATAAAGAAAATCCCTTGTTAGAGTAAAATTAAATTTGAAATACACTAATTATATTAACTTGTACCTGAATTGATTAGATTAAATGAAAATTCTAGTATATTTTTTTAAAAGTAATGCTCGCTGACTAAAAACCACAGAAACTTTTAGAATATAAATAAAAACTAAAAAAAAAAATAAAATATTTTAGAAACTATTTTTCAGCAAACAAATTTACAATTTACTTCATTTTTGTTAAAATTAATATAACGAATTAAAAATATATATCATACATAACAGCAATTATTATTATTTTTCACAAAACAATTTTGTTAAAAAAAGTCACAAAAAATAAAACGAATGTGTGTTCAATTATTTATACTTTTTCATATTAATTAAAAAAATTGCTTTAAAATTTCATTTTAGTTTTTAATTATCAAACATACATTTCGCAAATTTATTAAAGTTATTTATTTTAATACGAAACTTATATATAATTAAAGTTGTTATTACAACAATAAATAAAGTTTTTAATTTATTTTTCTCAATAAAAGTTTTTATCAAAGACTACAAATGAAATAATTTTAAATAAAAATTATATTAAAATAATTAAAATTTTTGTTTTTCAATAGAAGCTTTTACATTCTTTTATATTTTGAAGTGTTAGAAAACAACAAAAATTCTTTAAACGAAATTATTTATATTTTTTTATAAGAGTATTTGAGTAAAAAAAAACTATAAAAATCATGCACATTTCTGTTAAATAATTTATAAATAATTTTTTTTTTATAATATAGAAAATAAAAATAAAATCAATGCACTTTTTCGCTTACCTCTAATCTGTCGGATCTGGGAATTTTTTGTTGTGCCACTTGTACAGCTTGTGGTACAACTGGACCCAACTGTGAAGCGACTGCTGAGGGATCTGGTCCTAATAATGCAGGCACTAAGTGTCCGGGCGCAAAATATGGACTGTATGTGTTGGCTGGTATACCAGTCAAGTAAGGATTTGTGGCCTGTAAATAAAAAATAAAATATAGACAATTTTTTATTATTTTTTGGCTTTACAACACTGTATTTACAAATCAAATACAGATTTTTGCCATTGTTTGTCTTTACAACACTACATTTGTTATGATGTATTTTGACTAGCATTTAATATATTTATATATAATTTTATTTTTAATATTTATATATATATTCTTCGGTAGACGGCGAAAATGCCATAGTTGTAAGCTTTATATATATAATATAATTGTTATAAGTAATACAACATATTTAAAATGAAGTAAAATAAAGTGAAAATACTACTACTAAGTACTACTATATATTTTTTATATTTATGTATATATACTTATATATATATATATTTAATATTTATATTTAGTAATCATATATGTAAATTTTGTATCTGAGGGTTTCACTGACAATGGCAAATGATTTTAAAAATAGTATTGTGAGTGCTCTTATATATAATATATTAGGAACGATAAGGGGTTGCCTGCAAGTAGTGTTTGGGTGTGAGTCGGACGATGTATGTGAGTATCGCGTATACATACAACTATACTAAATATGGAGATCTCCATTTAAATCCATTGACCTGGTAAAGTAAACTACTTTCATAACTCTTGCGAGCACTTGGAGTTAGTTTGAGTGAAGTTATTTGAGTATAGTTGGGAGCTTTCGTATATTAGATTCTGAATTGCGCCATATATTGGCTTGTTTGAGTAAATGATACAGGTGTCATCTGCGTGGATGAAAAGTAAAGTTGACTGTATAGAATGACAGAAACCAAGGAACTTTGTGCCATGTCTGCTTTGACTTTGAAGTATAAATCAAATTCCTACTAATTCTCTGTTTAAGAAAAAGCTGCTAATAATTTGTTAGGATTTCCTATGATAATGAAGACGTACAATGTATACATTACTCTGGATCTTAATGAATGAATTGCTGTAGCGGTTTGGCCATATATTCTAGGTTTTTCTATGTTTCGATTATGTTGAAGAGTCTTACTGATTTAGTAAATATTCGTCTTTTATGTGTTCGATATTGTTCAGATACATAAAAGTAACTATTGGATTGTATTACGATTATATACCGATATTTTAAGTTTTTATCTAGAGCATGAGAATTACGAAGCACTTTTGGCTTATATGTTCAGAGATAAACTAAAATAAAGTACTGATTTTATATACCTATAACCATAACTATACAGCTATATATATTTATAAACTAGCGCTATTGGTGTCGAAATGAAATGTCTGACTTTTTTGAATAAAATTGAATAAAACCACGAACTGAACTGTTAGTTTTTATCTGTACAACTCTTAAATGGAACGTTCCATAAAGAATGTTTAAAAACAATGGCTTACAGTATCAAGACACTGAACTAGACCACTTCAGAAATTTACATAGTTCGCAGTTGTCAAGTGTCAAAACGAGATTTCAGATATATAAATATCATGACTTATCACTCTTTTTTTCGTTTTATCTTGGTTAGAATAATCTTCAAATATTGACCAATGTTAAGATACGATATTTAATATATAATACCATAATGAATCATAACTCCTTTTCTTTATTTTATCTTTGAATAATAATAAGAATAATTTTCAAATATTGACCAGTTCTTAAGTAGAATATACAAAAGATTTACGCAGTTGAAACGCACTTCTATGAATTCGCAGTATTTAGCAGTAATAAATTATGTAAAAATGTTATGAATTCGAAATTCCAAGCCCAACATTTCAAATCATTCAAGTGCTTAGTTCCGCTGTCTACATTTCAAGCGTTTAAGGAATGTAAAATTATTTAAATATTCAAAAGTGATTACAATTCAAATTAATGCCATAATTGCTCAGCAGGAATCATGAATAGCAAATCCATCAAAATTACAAAATTAACAAAACGTATTGCGCACCTTTTTTCGTTGCAAATATATAACGAGCACATCCTTCAGCAAGTAAAGGATATTTCAAAATATTTGTGCTGAACTCTTTCTCACACCGCGGCGCGCCAACAAGTCAAGCAAAACCTAGGAACATGAGGAACTACAAATGGAAGTCATATCATTTTTCACAGCATATACGAGTACACGTCACCGACGAAAATCATTTGGCTGACAGACAGACTAGACTAGCAACTGGCAGACACATTCAGCAACTGACTAAATTACTCAGTGGTGCATGAGTCATAGTGGCACAAATCAACCGCACCTTCAACAAAATTATTACGAGCACAACACTCGCCCGCAAAACGAACGGAAGTCATTGCCAGCAGCGCTGAGGGAAAGCAGGGAAAGCATGATGCAAATTATTTTTGAATTAATTTTCGATTTGTTTTAATGACGAACTAAACGCGTGCTCATGTGTTCGGTGAGGGGGAGACCTCTAATAGAAACCAACAGAAAGTCCAATGGTTGGACGGACTTGATAAGCTGCCAGTGTTTGAACTGCGAGCAGCGTGCCGCCACCAACGTCGCAGTGGTCGTCCCTGCGCAAAACAACAAAACAACAAAAAGGATGTCAAATGAATAATGAATTCAATGCGGAAAAAATTTTTCATTTTCGCGCATTTTGAGCAGCTTTTTCTGGGTGTTGAAATTCATAAGCGCGTATCTGCTAAATATGCACGAGTATCCTGTACATCCGTGCCACTCTGCAGTACGAACTCGTATGTTTGCTCACATACAAACGAATTTTCGCTAATATTTTCACTCTTATTTGTTCCCCGCTTTTCCTTTTTTAATTTTTTCATCCATTCTTCCATTTTGGACGGTTAGCATAGGTTACTTGCCTCGCTTCCTAGTTGGTCTGTTGTTTGTCCCTACGTTAGTCCTTACCGCGCGCAATTTTTTCCACTATTTTGTGTGGACGTGGTGCAAGCTCAAGTCTTCTCATGCATATTCAGTAGAATGGAACTTAATACGTTTTGGCGTGAATTTCCATTAGTGTTGTCAGTGGAAAATATTTGAAATATATACTTTGAAAATTGTATTTATTTGAGCTGTAAAATTAATTTTATTACATTTTAATATCACAATATTTTTGTATGAGTCGTACGCTCAGGTCATTGTGGTTGGTATGAATAGCCTTTGTCAGTGAACACTGACATGAGGTTGGGCTTCCATTAAAGAGATATCTTAGTTTTTTCTTTTTATTATTAAAATAGAAAAAATAAACACTTTCATGCTAATTAAATTAATTTAACGCAAACTAAAAACCACCACAGGATGCCATATTCCTCAACTAATTAGATTATGAAAAATTGAATACGATATTTTCTTTTATGAGTCAATAAGTGCTCGTAAATAGAGTGAGTGGTTGTTGCATTTGACAGAAGCCATAAAAAATCTAAAACTCATAACTGCATTTTAGATGAAATTTTATACCACATTGATTAATAATACTATTTATGTTTATAGTAGGTGTTATTAAGGAAAAAATTGACAATTATAATAGTAAAGTAAAGGATAAGTAAAGAAAGAATAAAAAGTCCTGGATGATATTTGCAGAAAAATGTCAGCTGATTTGCAAGACAAAACATGATTTTCCTAAAAGTTTACATAGTTTCAAATGTCCTCTGAACTACGGACAGTTCTCTGAACTACTTTTGAGAGATTTTGGCTGGAATCTACTTTTAAAACCTTCTACTTTCCGTCAAACATACCTCGGAGAAGATTAAATATTTCAACATAAAAATATAATAACTTGTAAACATTTTTAGAAAAATATTGCTCATAACAAAAATGTTATAGTTATACAGTAATCTCCCCTATAACGCGGTACCCTTATAATGGGGTTTCATATTACGCGATTTCAATCTCCCTTATAACACGTACATTCCCGGAAATTTGTACACCTCATAATTAGCTTCGAGTACCTTTGCACGTGTGCATACGGGGTATGGGAATACCGGTATGGAATACAACGCGGAACTAATCTACCGCGTTACTGTATAATGTTATTACTGTATAATGTTATATCAATATTAGATAGATTGCTTTAAATTGTTTAAATCAGTCACATACATAGTCATAATTACGGTCATAACTTATTGTAATTAATATGATATTGTTTTGATAAAAAAAATCTCTAAAACTTACCACTGCTGGCACTTGTCCCGGTATAACGGGTTGACCGGGTGCAATACCCATCTGTTGCATCAATGCGTTTTTCAAGGCAAGATGGTTTCGGCCATTTATCAATAATTGATCCTTCAAATGTTGTGGTGGATGAAAATATTTGCACGGAGGTTTATCACGATTACAGCGACCCTAAAATGAAAAAAAAAATGAAAGATAAAAATATGAAAGTAAGTTTAAGAAAATTTGACAAAAACAAAAAAAAATATAAAAATTTGATAGAGAAAATTGTTGGTAAAATGGTAAAAACGAAGAAATGAGAAGAAAAAATTGTAGTGGAGAATATAAATCACATGTACTCAATAAAATAGACATTTTAGTACGTCAGTTGGCCATAATCGTGCCAGAGATGTACAAGTCGCCTTTATGAGCTGCCTAGCTTTCTAGTAGCTCTTCGCCCGGAGCCAATAAAACAATTTGTCTTATTAAGTAGTTTTGATAGTGCAAACAAAAGGGTAAACGATAAAATATGTGAAGTTAACTACTACAAGTGAAAAGTGGGCGGAAATAAGTGAGAAATCGAAAAATAATGCCTTGTATATTTTTAGTGCTAAAACGAAAAAAATATAAAAAATAAAAAATAAGGAATAAGTACCAATGGAGCAGAATGAGCAACAGTGGCAGTAGCGGCATCTGAGAATTCCTTCACTTTAACTGCTGCCAATTTGTAGAAGTAATAATTCAGCAAACAAGCGAAACTATTTTCTTTTTTATAACGAATTTATTATTATTTTTGGTGAAATTCATTTTAATTTTTTTTCTTTTTTTTCTTTTTTTTCTCAACATCTTCTGAGTTAGCAATTTAGCAATTTTTCTGTTTTATTTGTTAGAGATGCTTTGTAAAATGTTTCCACTGAGCTTTGAGCACATAAATTACCACCTAATAAATTACTTGGAAACGTGGCTAAATGTGTGCGTGAGTATCTATGTGAGTTTTGTTGAAACAACATTAGGGCGTGTGTGTATGTGTGTGTGTGTGTTGGTTGATTTGTTTGCCTTTTCATTTAGTTTAATTTTGCACTGAGCGTAAGTAAGTGGATTATAGTCGTAAAGTAAAACATTTTATAGTAACTTTATTTGTTTTGGTTTATTAAATAAATAAGTAGCCCAACTGTCCATATACATATATACCTATATATAAATACATACATGTGTGTAGGTGTGGTAATGTGTATGAGAGCGTAAGTGTGCATGCAAGCACATAATTTAATTAAGTTATTAAGTTTATTATAAGTAAAATAACTGAAAAGAGCTTGCAGTGGTGTAGAAGCAAACTTTCTCGTAGTGATTGGCTTATTTCACACTTCATTGCTATCATTAATAGGCAAATAAATATGTGAGAAATCAGTTATATATAATAAACACATAGTCCCCAAAGAACTTGCCAGATATTTGCGCCAAACCGCATTCTACACGAATCATGGAATCATGTACGTTATTAGAAAAGCCAATTATTTAAAAAATGAACTCATATAATTTGACTTTTAAAAATTTGTTTGCATATTTATTTAAAGGCAAAATCCTTTCAAATTTGCATTTAACTAGCAAATATTGTTGAGTTTTTTTTTCACAGTTCTCTTATCAGCATCAATCTTGCTTCTTTTTTTTGATTTTTTTTCAAGCAATTTTTTTTTATTTCAGCTCAAAATTCTAAGATACATTTAAACAAACTTACTTACAGACACTCGTATATTGGAAGAACTCTGTGTTATTGTTAGTCCAAGTCTGTTCGCAATACTTTCAACAAAGAAGAAATAAATAACTTTCCCGTCAGATTAGCCAAGTTGTCACGAAATGCGAAATGACATTTAATACGTACGATCTACACGACCGGACTTGACTGCAGAACATGAAAAATTCTTAACACTACGAGACACAAGAACGATTTTCTCCAAGCGGGTAGGGTACAACGGCCAAATGAGAAATAAGCGAATATATAAGGAAATAATAATAAAACAAGCAGTTTACTGTTTGTTTTGGCAGAAGCAGCGGCAACGGCAACGGAGGGGCCGGTAATATGTAAGACACATAATAATAAAAAAAAACTACATACAAAAATGGCATTAGTTGAATAACAATGCAGGAGAAGCACCAACGCAGCAACGCCAAAGCTGAGTTGAAGGATATTTCTGTAAGTGGAAAGTGCAGAAGTTGAAAAAAAATTATTGTAATTTAAAAGGATTATCTTATAGGAAAAAAAACTGCATATATATGCATATGTATGTGTATGAGTTGCAATACTAACAGCGGAAAAAATTGAAGGCAAATGAAAAATGTAGTGCCTTAGAAGTGAGATGCAAATGCTTCAAGCTGACGTAAATTTGTTGCATACTTTTCGTATAAAAAGTGTAAATGCGAGTGTATACAATTGCATATAAATGCTAATGTAATAAATTAAAGTCAGTCGCAATGACTTCGTAATGGACTTGCATTACGGAGCATTTAAATTAAGCACACTAAAAATTCGCAAAGTGTGAATGCAATACTTTTTGGAAGTTCAAACTTCTTGAATATATACAATCGCAGTACGTGAAGTACGTGAAGTTTCAACGTTAGTTTCTCCCAACTCATTTGCTGCTTTTCTGCCATTTTGAGAAGATTCCAATATTTTCAGAGAAGTTTTCTCATCCCAAAAGAAGGGAGCGCATTTTTTTCAAAAGACATTTAAAACTTTTAATCGCTGTTTAATATACAAATTCACATAAAAAACATTTTAAAATGTTAATCGTAATTAAGTTAAATCGGAAACATTTTGTCGGAGATAGTGTTTTTTAAATCGTGGTATAAGGCTGTGTCTTTACTATAAAATAATACCACATAACTTATATATAAAGATAAAATAATAGTTTCTTATTTGTTTAAACTGTTTAAAATAAAACAAATTTGCTTAACTGCATATAAAGTTATTCTCATAACTAAGTTAGTCTCTATTATATATTGTAAACATTTATTTGACAATTTCTGTCAAATGATGAAAATTAAAATTTAAGGCAATTACTTATTAGAAATTTTGCATCAAACATAAGATTTCGAAAAATCGAAGATTAACATATATAAAAAGGTTACATATCAGTTAGGCATAGTAGAGATTATTGCTTATATGTTAGAGCAAATTGCCATTTTTAATAAATTTTTTATAGAAAACATTAAATTATGCTATAATACAACCTCAAAATAAAATAAACTGAAAAAGAAACAGTTGAGTACAATTAAAAATAACACACAATTGTTGTGGTTTCTATTAAATTACGACTATACATACTTCAATCACTAAAACAGTTTAGCAAAAATAGTATCTAGATGTTGTGGGTGTAGGGGTAAAGCTCTACTTATTTTCTATTGCTTTCCTAATGTTAAGTTTTTATCTTTTTTTCATTTCCAGCCAGTCATGGAGTTTACAATTGCAATGACATGAAAATGTTTAGTGGTGCATAAAAAGTGTAGCGAAAAATTAGAAAAAAATTTCAAATTGCAACGTATACACATATATATCTATAAATATAAATATATATATGCAAATACACAGTTATTTTGTTCGGAGAAGCATACGACGCGACAATTGCTTTAAGCGTAAAAGGATGCATGCAAGTAAAATTGACATTTGCAGATGTGCAATTGCTGATAAGATAAGTGCTAAATGCAAAAAAAAAAAAAAAAAAAATTTAAATAAATTCAAAAGCTATATTATAGAATTGAAAAAAAGTGTCCTTTATTTGATTTCGAAAAAAATTAAGTCAATAAAAAAAATGAATATTTTTTATTGGTATTTGAAATGAACAAAAAACAATTTATTTAAATGCACTTTTAATGTGTATATAACATGATATTGCTAGTTTTTGTTGGCTTAATAGAATAAATAAATTTTTAATAATTATTAATTTTATTTAAAAAGAAGAACAATATTATATATTAATTTTTATAAGAACATGTTCTAATAATGTATTCTATCTAAGTAACTCTGCATTGACTTAAGGTTATTTTGATATAAAATTTATTGTTTTATGTCAACTAAAAAGTATACGTTTATAATAGAAACGATTTCCTTATATTAATTAATATTAAACTAATAGATTTATTCACTTAATTTTTAAGTAAATTGTTTAAAATTATTGTTAGAAACTCGTACCAAAAACGATGGGAAAAATATAAATTTTTAATCACATTATTACAGTGAATTAAAATGCGTATAAAATAATTTATTCACAGTTAATGAAATTAAATGCTTAAGTGAATAATGGCAAAAAATATATTAGTTATTTGGTTTTAAATATATTATCAGTTCTCAGTTGTTAAATTATATTTGATTTTCATAAATACCAACTAATGAGGCTAACTAAGGTTAAATTTTGAATATTAAAATAATATTAGAAAATTATTGTGTTTTCTTTTTTATAACACCCCTTCTCTCTATAATATTAAATATTTTCTTATTTTCTTTTTTTTGGCAATAAATAAATAGCTGTTAGGGATATAAACATTATAAATAAATTATATTTAAAATGTAACGTAAAACGTTTCTGTTGTAGTATATTTTTGGGGGTGAAAATTTAAATCTTACAGAAGTTATCGAAGTTCCCAAAGCTTCCCAAATCATTTTAATATATTATCTTATAATAAGAACTTAGCCAACAATTAAATGTATCAATTTATTGTCTAATTTCAAGCTATTTGACAGTGTATTTATTAATAGAAAAAAAAAACTAAGCATCGTGTGGTGAAAGCATATTCATAAAATTACTTTTCAATTTTCTTTTTTGATGCTTTTGAAAAGTTCCTTGAAGGAAATTATCCATACAGTCAATTAACATTTATTTAAGCAATTCAATCAATTTAATACAGCAAATTTAGTTAACTTATGAAACTGCTGCATACATTTAGGCGAAACTATTTAGTGTCGCTTTCACCACACAAATCGTTTAAGGATATTATTTTTAAAAAATACTTCTGTATGTTTCAGTTAAAAGCTTCGTAATAATTTATTATAAGAGAAATATTTAAAAAAAATGTGATTCAATAAAGTCAAACAAATTAATCAAAATAATTGAAAGAAAATAAAATTATTTATTTTTGCTATACAAAGCAAATCAGTCAAACACAAAGCCAAACTAGTGTTACTGTTGTTCTTTTA